CCACCGAGGGGGTCTTCAGTATTTTGTGGATCGGGAAGGTTACGGTACTGAGGATTGATCACCTTGTTCCTGTCTCAGCCCCAGACCCTGCTTGACTCTCGCCCCCGGCTCCACCTCCACCTATTCTGATTGATGGCGAGGAAGAATATGAGGTCTGTCAGGTCCTGGACTCCCGAATCCACCGAGGGGGTCTTCAGTATTTTGTGGATCGGGAAGGTTACGGTACTGAGGATTGATCATGGGAACCTGCCAGTAATCTACATGCCCCTGATTTGATACAGCAGTTCCATGCTACCTACCCCGACCGACCAGGCCCATCTGAAGGGGGGAGTCCTGGGGAGGGGGATAGTGTCATGAGTGCTTCCGAAGACCTGGAACCTGAAGGGTTAACTGAGGCTGAAGAGAATGCTGAGAGATCAGAAACACCTGAACCGCCTCCAGATTCTCCTTCCACAGCAGACAGGCTTCGGGCCAGGCTTCGGGAAAGACTTAGGACAAGAAGATCAGAGGATCACTCAAAGGCTCTCCACAGAAACTTACGTTCATCTAGTCCTGAGTATTAACAGGACAGAAAGCTTTCCAGCAGATCAAGAAGCTGTTTTACTATAAAACAGCTCCCAGTGAAGCCAGAAATTCTGTGGAAGCTTGCATCCACGCTTCTTGAGCCGTGTTCCTGACTCTGAACTCTGGACTTTGACCCTGGACTACGCTGTGTATTGGACTCTGGACTTTGCCATTGGACTTCATTCTGTGAGTTGATATATGGACATTGGCTCTGCATTCTTGGTATCCCTGACCCTGGACTGGTTTATCGGACTTCAGCTGTTGTAACCCCTGGGAACGTGACACTGTGCTCAGTCCTGGATGATCACACCAGTAGCAGACTTCAAGGGAGCAGATTTCTTCTGCATTGGACCTAAGGCCTGCTGGATACGGTCATACATTCCTTTGATGTTACCTGTGTCCGCTGCTATCTGTATCTGACAGCAGAGCTGAAGCCAATAATCACTGGAGCATCTCCTGGCAGCCTGTTGGACTTGGCTACGAGCAGCTCAAAGAGCTTGCAAGTTGTACTCGCTAGGACAGGCTTTGTATCCTGTTAGAGTTCTTCTCTTATCCTCAGTGGTTGGCATTAACTCCTCCGAGTGGGCTTCAAACCAGTCAGCCATCTTTTTGGTCTTCTTGCCAAAGGTGGACAAGGCGGTGTTGTACACAGCGTTCTTGAAATGTTCCATCGTTCAGATGCATTTACATTAGCCGGACCTGGAAGGGTTTCCTCAAGTGCTTGGGCAAATTCCTTCACTTTTCTTTGATCGCGAGTCTTGCTGATGTCAATACGTGGTCTTCCTTCCTTTTTCGTGTAATACAATCTCTTTGTTCACAGTTTTACTCTACTACACACCAGAGAGTGATCAGTATCGCAATCGGCACTCTGGTAGCTGCGTGTGATCATAATATTAGGAAGGCTAGAGCATCTCATGAGGATCAAATCGAGCTGATGCCAATGTTTGTGTTGGGATCTGCAAGATGAGGGGAAGTAGGGGTCTTGCAGATGAAGCCTCAGAGCAGGGATCTTTCTCCTCGACCAGCAAGGGGAAAAAGAAAGAGAGGACACTCAAGTGTGGTTTGCAGGACGGGATCCGGATGAACAAGGACAGCCTGCCGTGGCAGTTGTTCAGAGGAAATCTTTTCTCTCTTTTTCCGCGCCCCCTTTATTATTGTACTCTACTACCTTTGCACTAGTTAATCAATACAGAGGTAACTAATTTCTTGAATACACAACAGAATAACCAGAGTGCTGGTAAACAGAGACAAGTAATTTCCTTGAATACAAAGGCATCAGTAAACAGAGTGGTTGGTAAACAGACAGGCTGTTAAACAGACAGTTAATAGTAAACAGACACAGATACCATCCAAATACACAGACAAGTTCCTGAATACACGAACACTTTAACTACATTATCCAGAGACAATAGACAGCAGGTTAATGAATCATGTTACTGGAAGCTAGTCAGTTTTAGCATGAGGCCTGCCATTGCCACAGATATATACATTGTAACAGCATAACAGCATATATTTTCCCCACATGTTTGGATCTTGGATGTCTCCAGGAAACTCTGTGTTGAAGTTTCGTCTTAAAGAATGTGTTGCTGACACAAAGACCATAATAACAGCATAACTCCAGCAAGTGTTGGCCATTTTCATTCACCTTTCCAATGCCAAAACGGCCTAGACAAGTGGGCCAAGAATTGTGATCAGCACCAACTCTAGCATTAAAGTCTCCAAGAATGAACAGTCTCTCTCTCTCAGGGACTTTTTTGATAGTAGCTGCCAGATCGTCATAGAATTTGTCTTTCACTTCTGTAGTGGATGACAGTGTTGGTGCATATGCACTAATGAGAGTTACTGGTCCTGCTGATGAGTGGAGCTGCAGAGACAGGATTCTTTCACTCCCCACAGTAGGTGG